TTTATAAATATGTTTTTGTAAATTTTTAACATTGATTCAAAAACTTAGTAAGTGCATCAAAATTACACAAACCCGATTAATTATCAAAAATATTTATAGTAAGTGTACTATGTTCAGATTTCACAGAAAGAAAATTCATTCAAATTATTTTTAAGTGATTTAATTTTATGAAATTTTACATATTGACTTTTGCTGTGAACCGATGATCTTTACTCTGTTCATTAAAATTTTATTTTTCTTATTGATAAAAGTTAATAAGGATTAAACGATAACCTCACCTATAAAATAAAAATGTTATTTTCACCTCTTTTATGTAACTATTGGTATATTCACTTTTATTTTAAAGTTCTTGGTTTTGTGAAAAAGTCATTTTGGACTTGGAACAATAAGCAGGTGTTTTGGTATACCAGTAATAAACGGATTTTTTTCAATACATTTTATAAATTTGTTCATAATATTGTATAAGTAGGGCATGGTTGAATGTAAATAGATAGGAAAGTCATTGGGCTTAATTATTTTACAAAATATTAATTTTTTTATAAATTCACATTATTTATAAATAATTTATTATTGTTAATATTAGAGAATAATCTGAATTTTAAAGACTGATTGTCTAATTAATTTATGCTTTAAAAAGAAAAGTTTATGTATCTTTATTTATAATTGCTATTCTATTACAAAGAATGAAAGTCTCATTTTTTTTTAATTATTTCAAAAGATGAAATTTAAACATATAATGTTTATTTATCATAGCATGTGGAAAGTTAAAAAGTTGTACTTATTTTGTTAGAAAATCTAAACCAAAAGAAATTTTATGTAGTACTAAACAATTTAAAAATTGATATATATTTTTTTTTCATTTTTAAAGAAAGAATTAAAATTTCTTTTTTAATTTTCTCTTGCTCTTGTCCATTACCTAATTACCAAAATTTAAGAGGAAAATCTAATTAACTATTAAATTAGTGATGTTCATATGTTAAACCTATGTTTAACTAATGTTAAAGTAAGAACCTCTGTTAAATACAACATGCTATTTTATAAAGAAAGTAAAGTTTTAAAAAAATAAGCTAATTATCCATGATGGAAAATTAGAAATAAGAAATGATTTCAAAGGAAGGAGATTATTTATAATATCATTATTATAAATATTATAACTAAAGCTAAATATTTTTATAGCTACCTAAACTAGCTATTTTTGATACTTAGCTTTGCTATTTAAGACAATGTACAATTGAAACTGTTCATGATTTTGCAAATGTTTTCGTTTTTACTCTTTCAGTATTTATGCCTAATCAATATAGTCTAAAATGTTGGATAACTTTAATATCCACTTTTACTCTCTATATTATAGTTGATTCGGCGACTGTGTTTGTATTCTAGCATTACAGGGTTGTTACTTCCCTTTTATGGCTTTTTTTTTTCAAATGAATTTATGTAAGACGCCATGATTAATTCATTTTATATACATGCACATTTTACCACACATCTACAATCATCTCTTGGTTTTCTTCTTTGTAAATGGTAGTAGCATACAAGCTCTTTTTAATATCGCTCAAATTATTTATTCAGCAATCACACTTGCTCTTCTATTGGGTGTTTGTGCGCCTGTGCGTTGAGTATATACATCAACTGGTCTAGTTTTCGGTCCATATTAGAAACCTATATTTAATAAAATTAAGGAATTAGATTGACTATTAAAAATTTTATATTCATGAGACTGAAATTTTATTATAATATTAAATTGATAACAAATTTATTAGTAACTTATATCTTCAAACGTATGGATACAAAGTTTATCTATAATTAAATTTACTTATTTTAACTTTAATAGTAATATAACATTTGCCACCACCTTTAAGTAATTAATGTGCTAATAGCTACTTTTCAGATTAATTTTTTTTTTTTTTGATTTGCTGATTACAAATGATTTTCATATCTCTGAGAATTTTTACTTCTCTGAGTCCTAGATTTTTGTTGATTCATAAAATTTTATTTTGCAAAACTGTTTCTGATAAATTGTTACTAGTAATTAATTACAAAAATGAGATTTTCCACATTTGTTACTTAATCTTGATGAAGACAGTGTTATATCATCAAATATATTGATGCAAAGTTTATCTATTATTAAATTGACTTATTTTATTGTATATGAAAGTGGTTAGTTACTTGTTGTTCAACTCTACATAATCTTGCACCTATTGTCATAGGTTTTACATTTCCAGATCTGTCAATGCCACCGAGATAACTCCCTGGTTTTCCTAAAGTTTGATCTAGCCTTCTTTGTAACTCCTGTTGAAAAGGAAAAAAAAAAATTTGTTTTTTATATTTTTATACAATGTTAATCTTATAGATTTTTTGTTTTATTAATTGTTTAAATAATTGATGTTTATTTCCATTTGATTAAAATGATGTTTAATTTACCTTTATTCTGACCATCATGTTAAGGTGGCCTTGACTGTATTGTTCAATAACATCCCTAACATCATATGGTTTTCTAGCTTGCTGGAATTTTCTTCTTGCAACGAAGTATTTTATTTTCCTTATTGCTCTTATCGCATTTTTATGAACTTCTGTCAACCTAATGAATAAATAAATTTATATTTTTAAGTTCATAATTGGTGTGATTAGTAGTAATGGACTCCATTATATTATATTTCATAATCAATTTTGCTTAAGCTACTGATATAAAATAATTTTAAGGAATAAAATATTGTTTCTATTCTTTTGGAGGGTCAAGTGGATAATGGTGGTAACTGGCATTTTTGGTAAAATTTAATTATTACTATAGATAAAATTATCAAGTGATATATTTTTAATATTTGGTTCAGAACCGTGTTGATAAAGATATTAAGTGACGAATACTTTATGCCCAGTAATGTATTTATGCCCTTTAGTGGATAAAGGTGACAAGTGAACTTATAGCCTTCATAAATGTACAAGTTTATTTGTGAAATAAGTAATTTTGTCGTCAGTCTAAGATTTTCGGATAACCATCTATTGATGTTTTGAGGGTTTTTCTAAAAGGAAAAATGGCGAGCATAGGTAAAATAGTTTTATATTCTGCTTTGAAGGCATCAAAACACACTGAAATGATTTTAGGCAAATTCAAGTTCAAGTGAAGTTATTAAAGAAAAAATATTTTATTGAAAGATAGTACCTAAGGCAAGTTGAAAATACCTCTGTGGATATAGATTGCCATTTCTATTTCAAATAGAAACATCCCAAAATTAGAAAAAAAAAAAAGATCCAGTCAATAGGAAAAAGTAATATTTATTAATTTAAATTAGTCATGCATATATGAATTTGGGAGTTTTTATCACATAGTAAGATATTCTGAAATGACGGTATTAAAGAAGGATTTATTGGCAAAGGACAACAGAACTTGCATCACAATCGAAAATCAAACCTAAAAATAAATCATACTGGTGTGGAGATGGCTGACCCTGATCATAATTTCAGGAGTTGGTCAGGGGGGAGGGTGCGGTCAATGAATAGTACTATATATTATAATAGTATTTTATAGTGTTTGCTGACATGTTGACCCACATTGTAGGCCTTCATCAGAGCACAGGCGGATCTATGGGGGGGGGGGCTTTCGGGCTGAAGCCCCCCCAAAATGGTAAAATATAACCATGTTTTACAGAAAAAAATATTAAAACTATCTCTTAAAGTATTCTTGTTCGTGTCATTACATTTAATAGGACTTCAAGGACCACTTAAACACCATTTCATATAGATAGTTAATTTCTTTCTTTTTTTTCTAATTAATTATCGTTATATGTATATGAAAAAAAAATCTTTCGGGCTGAAGCCCCCTCCCCCCCCAAAATTAAATCCTGGATCCGCTAGTGCATCAAAGTGTTGCATCTGGCATTGGTGGAAGCGGTTGGGAGACTCATGACATTTTCTTTTTGTTCTCCCTTTCCTTGCCTTTTAGGCTACACAAGATTTTTCATAAACATGGTCTATCAATGATTTACAAACAAAATCCTAATTCACCAGATTTTTTTCAGTATGTAAAGGTGGTAAGTACATTAAATAAGATAAGTATGCGCCTAGTATATTTAATTTTTTTTTCAGCAAAATCAGAAGCTTTTTCCACCATTCCTACAACTGCTAGAAATCAGATATCAGGTTTCTAAAAACAAAATGCTTGTGTCAAACTTTAAATTCAATTGTTTCAGAACCGTAGATATATCACTTATCACCTTTATCTGCTTGACCCTTCAGTCATGATATGGATTTCACCAGAAGTGTTAGAAAAATTAACTTCTTAATTTTAAAAATTTATTAGGTATAAAAAGTAAAAAATTATTCACAACTCATTAGTTTATACTAATTGATACTATTTAGATAATGTCTTTTATTTTTCACTCAACATTGCGATTGGGTAAAAATGAGCTGGTTAACTTGGGAAAACCCAGATGAAACCAAATGGTTCTGGTGGTAGTCAACCAATGAAATCAACTTATCAGCTTGACCAAACTTCTAAGGCATCATAGAAAGCAGTATAACCATTAACCTTGATGTTTCATTTATCTTAATGTTACAAATACCTATTTTTAAATATGAAAATGGCTCGAGGGAATAGCTTAGAAAATACTGATGTAAATAGGGTCCAGCATTTATATTTAGAGAACTGGAGCTCATACCTAAGGACTGTTTATATCATTGATAAATGAACATGGAACACATTTGCATTAGTGGAAAGAATAGAAGTTGCTAATGAAGCAAGAGCGATAATATTATTTACAAAAGATATTTGTCTGAAGCCCCCTATTTTAGCAAACTGTGATAAATAAAAAATATATATTGAAAATAAATTGGATGATTTATCTCTGAAAATAGAGATAGGAAATAAATCAGATAACAAAATATTTGGGAAAGGACTTAATATTAAAAACTAAGCTGACTTTGATTCTCAAACAACAAATTTGAAAAACATTTGTGGCTTATGAAAATTATTACTAAAAAATTCATGACAGTTCAAAAAACTTAAAAAAAAAATCTAATACAGAAAAATTATGGAATGTTTTATTAATAGTTTTGGTGGGTAAATTTATATATTAAGTTACACTGTGATTCTTTCTGGTTCAGCATCTAAATCCATTTCATCACTTGCAACTTCAGTTACACTGCTTGTTTGGCTTGTGAGTCCCCTAAATGGTACACCATTTCTTCGCACCCTGTTTGGGGTCCCTAAAATAAAAGATTAATAGAGTAGGTTAAACATGAAAAAAAGAAATCCTGAAAATGTAATCTTAAAACTATACTTTACCAGCTTTGGGCTCTTCTATGTAAAAAACTACATCACCTTCGCTATCTCTTCTGCCAGAATTATTATACTCTGTTGGACCCGGTATTGGTGCTGGGGGAGGTGGCTCCATTTTGTTTTTGGATTTTCTTCGCTTAAGTACACTAGCCTTTTTTGCAACTTGTAGCATTAGCGATTGCTAAAAAAATGTTTGAATCAAGATACACATAACTATTCCTGTCATAAATATTGTTACTAAGAAATATATACAGATTTAAACAGAAAAATTAATTTTTTCAAAAACTTTATTAGAAAATAAAATTTATATCTATAGAGAGTAAAACAAAAAAGAAATGACTCAAAATGTTCCTCTTTTGCCTTGACACAGGCATTTAACCTCTGTGGCCAATCATCAATAGCAGCATGCAGCACTTATTGAGGAAAGCGCTCAACTGCTCGGACCAGTGATTGTTTGAGACTTTGCAAGTTAGGCTGTGCTCTGTGGCATGCATTCCTCTCCAGTCTGGACCAAAGCCGATAATCTAGTGGGTTGAGATCAGTGCTTCCTGAGGGCCAATATGAGGCAGAGATGAACTCTGGAATGTTCTTTTGCAGCCACTGCTGAGTTGACCTGGCCTTGTGAGCTGGAGCGGAATCCTGTTGGAAACCCCAATGACTTCCAGCAAACAGAGTATCATTTAGAGGCTTGACAACAGGTTCCAAAATATCGTCCTGATAGCTTTTAGAGGCTGTTTTAATTTCTTTTTCACAAAAATGGAGCTTTGTGGTGACATTAAAGCAAAGTTCCCACCAAACCATTATGATGACCTCATTCCACTCTTCCAATAACTTTCTGGGCTTCTTTATAGCTTTGTGCGTACACACCATTATTTTGGGGATTACATTTTTCTTCAATTGTAAAAATGTTCTCATCGCTAAACAAAATCTTTCGATGAAAACCATTGGTGTAACGGCCAAGGAGCACTTTGTATCTCTCCACTCTAATTTTTTTTTGGGAAGTGTTTAGCCTTTGTCCTTTTATTCTTTGAAATGTACTCATCCCAAGGTCACTTTATACTATACAATACTATGCAATTCATCTGATAGAAATTCCCATTTCCCGAGACATGATTTGTTGTTTTCGAATGGGATTTCTTCTGATTTGAGCAGCCACTGCTCTCACTGTGTTTGCCGTTCTCACAGTGCGGGGACGGCCCGGTCTGACAGGCCCGGTCCAGGTCTGTCACATACAGATAGGGTCTCATTATATCTATTTATAGTGCGGTACACATATGGCTGATACCCTAAGGTTTCAAAGTGTTGAAAATATCTGACCTACATTTTCCAACTTTGTGTAAGGTGATCACAGCTATTCGGTTTTCTTTATCATCCCACTCCATGTCAACTGAGTGAAAGAAAAATAACCTGATAGAGGGCAGGATTATCTCAATAATATCCAAGGACGTAAACGAAGTTTAACTTTTGTAACAGTATTTATGGTAGAACTAGGTATATACACAAACATTTAAATTTAACTGAGTCAATGGGTGGAGAAAAATAGCAATTAATTGTTTCAAATGTATATGTCATACCATTTATTATTTTTACTTTCGATTCCCTATGTATTTATGAAAATACCTATTTATACTATAAGTAAGGTGATAAATGACAGTGGTGTAATGTGCGCACCTCATCGGATGTTTTTTTATGTGCATTGTAAGTAGATAGATAAAAGTTATATTTACTTTTGAAGGAGGCGGAGGATCTTGTTTAGCTGGTGTATCCTTTGATAGGTAAATATTCCATGTTGCATTTCCTTTGAAAGATTTATCTGCTGCATAGCACCTCCATAAACATTGTATCAACATGGCTGCAGCAGGTATTTGCCGATTGAAATGTTTCTGTCTTTGCTTTTGCTGAACTTTTAAAGCAAAACCAGATCCCAGAATTCCCTAAGATAAATTTTTGTTTAGATATAATTTAGATTTGATATTTATAATGATATTTTATTTTAATTCACTTACTGCAGGCAGGGCAAAAAAGGAAATGGCGAAGACACTAAAACAAGATGCCACAATTTTTCCCATCCAAGTTTGCGGAACAGCATCTCCATATCCAATTGTTGTTACAGTTATCTGAAGTTAGTTATCATTAATTAATTAATGTTATATAACGCTATTGTTAATGCCGAAGGTTGTTTGTAATAGTTTTCCTTTTTTATTCTATTTGTACTAAAATGAAATTTTGTAGTCTGGAACTGCTATAAGTAGTCTGCTACTATTGAAAACAGCTGAGAGAAATCAAATATGAAGTTATATTAATATATCATAAAAAAAATGCGATTTTATGCTCCTCTGTAAAAAAATTCAATTTCGACATACAATCTTTTGCACTAACATTAGTGATAACGTTAATGTGTGTAAACATATTTTATAAAATGACATTTTTTTTTTATTTTATTTTGTTTGTGAATATAATCTGTTTCAGTCATCTTAATTATTTATTTTAAAATTTTAAAAGAGATACAATTAATTAATTGGAAATTTATTATAAAAAAAATTTAATTTAATTTATGATTGGGATTTTTATTGAACTCGGAGGAAAATAAATACATTGGGCTATAAGTTATTAAAAAAAAAATCTTGTCTAACATTTCAGAGCTAATTTCAATTTGTTGATAAGTTCTCTAACACCAACAGTAAACTAAAAACTAGAAGTTCCAACCACATTCAGCATTTATAAAAATATTTTAACTTCTTACTCACCACTCCCCACCATAATGCATCAGCATAACTTGCAAAGTCTCCTGATTTTCCATCTGGTCCCACTGCATCTTTTTCAGCCAAATATACAAAATAGCTGCTGAATATAAGACCCAGGAAACCAATGTATAATGTGGTTATCAACTCCTGTCAAAAATAAAAAATTATTAACTTTTTTTTTTTTAAATCACATTAATTGGATCTGCACACTTTATATCATTATGTTTCTGATTTAACCTTTACAGTCATACATTTTGATTTGATAAATGAGTCCTTTTTAAAAGTTTGTTATTTTCATCCAATTTTAGATGTTGAAAAAATTTATTTTGTATTTATTTAAATATATATGAAGATAAAAGAAGTAGAAGTAATCAAAATTTAGACTCAAAATAAATTTTTCAAATTTAGACAACATTCAAATAATAATAATATCGTGAATGACCTTGGTAATGGGGCAGTGTTGACTCTGAAATATCATAAATGTATATATGAAGATTTAGTTGATTGAAATTGTTATATCTTGTGTCTTACTTTCATCCCCTTCCTCTTCGTTAACATTTTAAGTATCTTAGGTCTTGGGACCAATAAAGGAAAGTTACAAAAAGGATCGTTGTGGTTTTTATTGAATTTCTCTAATACAAATCCTATTATCAACAGAAAAATGTGTGTTTGATCTATGGATTATCTCAATAGATATAGATAAAGCTACATAATGATATAATATGTTTTAAATATATTTTTAATCCCTTAATAATAAATATCTTTCCCAGCAATCTAACTGAAGTTGGAAAAAGAAGAGAAATCCTTAATGGACTTAAATAGAAATAATCAAGTTCAACCGTAGAGTTTGAAAAATCCAGAAACTGCCAAGGATCCAATAGAGTGGAGGCAAAACTATGAGAAATAAATAATAAAAAAAGAAGAAATAACCATACCTAAAATAACAAAAAAATATTGTGTAAATTGTGATAATTTGGAAAAAAGATAAATGATGATGAAGTCCTTGTGATAGAGAAGAAAAGGAAAAGACAAAGAAAGTGGATGAATAAGAGGAATGCTCACCATTCCTAAAAGATGAAGAAGATATGGGGGAAAAAAGGCAAAATAATATTTGTAAGGTCTTTAGAAGGCTTAGATAAAAAAAAAAAAAAAAACTAAATATTTCGGGAAATCATGTTTCTTGTGAATTATAGTTATATTGATTATTTTTTTTATAAAAGAAATAATAGTTAAACAAGCTTAACTAATTTTCTCCTGCTCTTTACAAATGATAAGTAAATACATACCTGTCTGTGAATAAAAACGACTGAACCCAGTAACCTCCATGTACCTCCTTGCCTGTCCACATGGAGCATCCTGAGTATCTGAAGGAATCGAATTCCTCTGATAGCTGATGTGGCAAAAACTTGTCCATTAGAGCCGACTGATAATACTACTATAGATGCAACCACAACTATCAAATCTGAAAACAGTTTTAACGAATAATTTTAAACATATTTAATTCTAAATCGAAATGTTTTTGATTAATCTAACAGAGATAGTTCACAGTAGATTTTAAATTATATTGACCAGATTTTACAAAGAAGAGACTTACATATGTTACTTTTCCATATTTTCCTACATTCTTAATCTAACTACTAATTTTAAGAAATGTTCAATGTGAACCGTCTTATTTGTAAATTGGATAAATTAAAATTATGTATGTTGTCGAACGAGTAGGCTAAATTTTCTGGGAAGCTACAGAGCAATAGAGGGTCTAACCCTATCTAGATGTAGCAAACAATTATCAAGTTTGGGTTTGGATAGTATCTTGGGCTCACTTTCACCTAGTATCTAAATAGTGGGTAAGGGAGGGACTTGCTTTTGTTATGGCTTACTTTACCAGCAATATGTCCAGGGGTGCTCAGAAGGAATTTCCTTGCAAACAAAAAATCAACATTTTTGAGGGGAGCATATTTTTGAATTTTTGAGGGGCCACATTTCGGAGGGGTTATGAATTTTCGGAATGAAAAGCTTCATACTAAGAGACAAGGAGGAAACATGGAACATACCTCAGCAAGTGTAATTATGTATGATCTAAGATTTTACTAGTTCTATCTTCCGCTTGCTCTGTTTTTAAGAAAAGTGAGCAATAAAATATCTTGGGAGTGGGGAGGGAATAGATTCTTGTGCCATTGACCTTGGGGAGAGGGAGGAGAATGGGTACTCCTGTGTTCATCTATTTCTGATTTCTACAATGACATTAATAATGTTCCCAGTTCCTAAGTCCCTAATATTTTCTACTCATATCAACATTATTCTGCTATTACACTGAGAAAGTTACATCACCGTTGATTGAGTATTATATGATTGTGATTTACTAGATGATTCTGACTAAATAAGAAAATAAAAATCATGTGAGTGGGCTTTTATTATAATATGTTTATAATGTTCTGGAAAGTTGCTAAAGATTACGACCAATCAATTATTGTAAAAAAAAAAAAAAATTATGGGACACAAGAGCTCTCTAGAATAATAATAATAACGAATGATTATTATTTAAAAAAATATGTATTTAAAAATTAATTTTTATTTGAATGGAGAGGGAGTAGTAAAAAAGAAAAAAGTATTAAAATGTCCTGAAGAATATAGCATGAGAGTATGATAAGTCAGAGAATTGAGAAGTAGCTTAGAAAGGATTTGTTTAATAGTGAAGTACAGAGAGGAGGCTTGGGAATAATGTGTAAATAATGAAAGGTAGGCAAACTTCAATTCAGTATTGAGTTCTGGAAACAGCTAAGTTCCTGGAAGATCTGAAGGCAGATTCTGTACTTTAATCTATATTCAGTTTGCCTTTCCACCATATACCCATTATTAAGATGTGGAATAATAAGAGATAAAAAAAGAAGTTTAGGAATGTTTCAAGCAGTGTTGTTGAAAATTATGGAGGAAAATATGCTACTTCCAAGAGAATTGATGAAGTGTGATAATGAGATTTGAAACTAATGATCAGAACTTTGTTATTTGCTCCTCCAAATTTCAAGCATTTTTTTTTCTTTAAAAAAAACAATTAGCCGAATTAAGATGATCTATATGGAAATAAATAAAAATGTGCCTTGTGAACATTAATATCATATAAAAAAATATTTATAATTAATTAAGTATTTTATAGTGTTATTATTTTATCATTAAAGGTACATATGATATGTAATTGACTGCACAATATGTATCATCAACATTAGAATATCAGAGAATCCAATATTTTTTTAATGTAGAATATGAGTTTTTGGCTGAAACATTAGAGTCATTTTTAGGCCAATAAGTTAATTTGTTATTATTCTTTCATCACTGATGTAGACAACAAGGATCCATATAGATAAAGATAGATGGATACTTACTTTCTACCTCAATTTATACAGTATCTGAACAAATTTACTTCTTTCTTTGAAGATGGCCTACATGTAAGCTTGCATTATAAAAATACTAATTGATTTTTGAACTATGTGAAATCAATGATATTAGAGATATACAGTTGCCATATTAAAAAAGTGATTATACTTAATCTAATAATTAAAGTATACTATCTGTATTAGTAATTATATTATACCTTTATTAGATATTATATTATATCTATATTTGATACTATATTATGTCTATATTTGATACTGAATTATATCTATATTAGATACTATACTACCTACATATCTATATACTAAGTATCTAATAAAGTAAGTATACTTAATCTCCATTTAATTTGATATAGTAAAGGGTAAATATATAAATCAGACTTGGGCAAAAATTATTTTAAAATACAGTATTTAAAACTACAAGTAGTTTGTGTTTTTGATGTGTTTTAATTACAAAGTATTTAAATTGTTTTCAGAAAAAATATTTTGTATTGTATTTTAATTGCAATAAAACAAAATATAAATACAAAATATGCATAATACACAGGATCCTACTCTATTTAGTAATTTATTTTGTGTTTTTAAAATACAAAATAAAATACATTTTTTTGTATTTTAGTAACTTGTAAAAAAAAATCCAAATACTTCTTTTATATTTCGTATTTTAGAAAGAAAATACAATCACATGTAATTTATTTATTAAAATGTAAAATACAAAAAATGTATTTTATTTTGTATTTTAAAATATTTTATTTAAAATACTGCCCAAGCCTGATATATGTTGAGAAATATTACTGCTCACCTATCTAATTTGAATCAAAATCATTAATTTATAATCAGAGTTTTATTATATATAAAAAAAAATTAATGAAAAAAAATTACCTATTATACAGATTGGTTTTCTTACAAATCTAAACCTGCCGCAGCAGCCCATGTACTTCGACCTGCAACCTGCTGACCATAGTCTTACGCAATATTCAACTCCAAAAAAAACAACTAGCCATATTTCCTGTAACACATCAATGATAAGAAAAAAATCTACAAAACTGAATAATAACTAAATATATGTATTCAAACTTATAGGTTAGGACTTCACAGTAATAGTAATAATAAAACCACATATTTATTAAGCGTTTGACTAATCAAATGAAGGTAACAAGGGCAATTCAGTTCTGGACTGCAACATTATGTAAAAAAACAAATAAAGTAGAACTATAGTGATCAAATATGTGGTTTTATTATGAGTAATAACATTAGTAATAATCAATAGCTATAAACAGGTTAAAAATCGTTAGATACGTCTCAGTTATAAATTAAAAACAGATCCTTCTGACCTACTGCTTTTGTTTCATATATGTCACCAACATCCTTCATCATGACTTGAATGAATGAAATACATTTGTTGTTACAGTGACAAGAGACTTTTTTTTTTTTTCAATTTCATTAATTAACCTGTCAATTATAGTTACAGTTATTATAGTACTGACAATTAGCAGATTGACTGTTATAATCATGAGATGATAAATAAAATAAAACAGAAGATTTTTGATAGGCATGAGCGAAGTATAAATATAATCTCCATTTTAATATTTTCAGAATTATAACAACACTAAATTACCTTATTTATAACAAGTTTTCTGTATATAAATAGCCTTCCCAGTACCTAACCCCATTATGATACTTAACTCGCAAAGAATTTACTCTTAAAAGTTTTCTATTTCCAAGAATACATTATATGATTGGCCTCACATCAAAGACGGCATCTGTCATTTTAAAAAAAACTTGAGAAAAAGCAAATTTTTGCAACATAGCTTCAATTAAATCAGTTTTAATACTTTTTGTCATGATTCAACTTGAACAGTCTTAAATAAAATCATCAGAAACAGTTTGAATTGAGCCTATAAAACAAAAATCGGCATTTTATCCAATTTATAAAAATGACAAATATCGTCTCAATATGAGGCCACTCATATTTTTTTCTTGTAACTGATTTATCTGATAAGTAACTGAAGTCTAGAAACTCTAATAAACATTAATTTATTTTTATTTTATTAAAACTAATAAAGTTTCATTTTGTTTCAGTGAAGCATCTTAATTCAAATGAATAACTACCCTTTTTTTGAAATATCATCCAAAAATATAAAATCTGAAGATAGAGCAATGGAACTTGAAACTGAATTAAGTTATTTATTCTCCTCAATAATCGAAAACCCACATAA